AAAAAAAAAAAAAAAGAAAGTAGAAATAATAAGAGGCACCATTTGCTAACTGCTAGAAATGATGTTCTGTAAGTATTATCCTTCCATGAGATAACTAGTGTTATTGCTGTGTCCATTTTACATATGAGAAAACTGAGGCTCAGCAAGTTTTGGTGACTCACTGAAGCCTACAGAGAGAAGGTGGCAGAGCTGAGATTTGAACCTTATCAGACTGCATAAGCTTGTGCTCCAAACCTGGTGCTGTAAAGCAGTGGTCTCCAACTTTTTTGGCACCAGACAATTTTTCCCCCGGGGGCTGGTGGGGGGGAGATGCATGGGAGGGGGCAGTAGAAGGTGAGGGGAGGAGAGAGCTGATAGGAGGTGGAGCTCAGGCAGTGATTTGAGTGATGGCGATTGGCCATAAATACAGGTGAAGCTTTACTTGCCCACCACTCACCTCCTGCTATGTGGCTGGGTTCCTAACAAACCACAGACTGGTGCCAGTCCACAGCCCAGGGGCTGGGGACCACAGCTATGAAGTATCCTCACAGAGGCCTAAATCCCGCAGAAGGGATTTTTTTTCTCTCCTTGTCAACTCCAAGGGAACAAGGGGTGTGTCTGTGGCTGGGGACCACAGCTATGAAGTGTCCTCACAGAGGCCTAAATCCCCCAGAAGGGATTTTTTTTTCTCTCCTTGTCAAGTCCAAGGGAACAAGGGGTATGTGTGTCTTTTTTCAGCATTGCTCGGGGTCCTAGGCTGGGCCTGACTGATGAGTCTAAGTGGGTGACACCAGCCCTTACTCTGTCCCACAGGCATCGCCGTGTGCATTGGGATGGCCAGCACCTTTGCCTATGCCAACTCCACGCTCCGAGAACAGGTCTCTCTGAAGGTGAGTCACCTGGCAAATTAGTCTCCTGTGGCTGCTGCCAAAAATGACCAGAAACTGAGTGGCTTCAAACAACACAAATTTGTTATCTCAAAGTTCTGTAGATCCAAAACCTGGAGTGGGTCTCTGTAGGTTAAGATTAAGGTATGGACAGGGCTGTGTTCCTTTTGGAGGCTTCAGGGAAAAATCTTTGCCTTTTTCAGGGTCTAGAGCTTGCCCACATCCTTTGGCTTGTGGCCCCTTTCTCCTTCATCAAGCCAGCAACATTGCATCCCTGTGACCATCCTTCCACCATCACAGCTTCCCTGTACTCTCCTCTTCTGCCTCCTCCTTCCACTTGTAGGGTTCCTTGTGATGACATTGGGTCCAGCCTCACAATCTAGGAGAATCTTCCCGTCTCAGGATCAGCTGATTTCCAGCCTTAACTCCATCTACATCCTTGATTGCCCTTTGCTCTGTGACCTAATGTAGTCACAGCTTCCAGGGATCAGGATGTGAACTTCTTCAGGAGGCCACTCTTCTGCCTGGGCAGATCTCTAGATGCTCCACCCTTCTCTCCTGCCCTCCATAGAGTCTGGCATTCTTCCTCCTGATGCCCCTTGGCCTAATTCCTTTACCCTTCTGACATTCCGCCCGTTAGCTCACTTCTAGCCCACCGTTATGCTTAAGGCCATCCTGCTGATGCTGCTGGGTGGACATACAGCTCCAGCACCTGCCCCTGAATGTCCTCTATGTCTGAGAGCACTGGCTGTGTGCAGGCACAGTGCTGAGCCCATCGCCTATCTCTGCAGATTCTTCCCAGCAACCTGGTGAGGAGAAAAATTACTATCTCATTTTCCCAGTGAGGACAGAGTGGTTTATAGCCACTAAAGTTCCTTTCCTGAAGTCACACAGCCAGTGCAATTGGTGGCATCAGGATTTGAACCCAGGCAGTTAAACCCAGAGCCTGTGTTCATTCCAGATTCAAATGCCACCCACCTGCAGGCCCTCAGTTAGGTTATCTTGGTGATCTCAGCCTCAGGTGCCGCCTCTAGAGAAGGGACTGTGCACAACTTACAGATCCTTTGAGAAGCTTAAATGAGATAGTATGGAGAGGTGTTTAGACATATAAAGAACATTTGATTGAGCTATTTTTTTAAAGAGCCTGTGCTTTCAGGCCCAGTGTGGTGGCTCACGCCTGTAATCCTAGCATTCTGGGAGGTGAGGCTGGTGGATTGCTTGAGCTCAAGCAAGAGCAAGATCCCAGTCTCTAAAAATAGCCAGGTGTTGTGGCAGGTGCCAATAGTCCCAGCTACTCGGGAGGCTGTGGCAAGAGAACCACTTGAGCCCAAGGTTTGAGGTTGCTGTGAGCTGTGATGCCACAGCACTCTACCAAGGGTGATAAAGTGAGACTCTGTCTCAAAAAAATCAAAGAAATAAACAAACAAAGACAAAGAGCTTGTGCTTTCTACTACAAAGGTGTTTTTTTGTTTGTTTGTTGAGACAGAGTCTTAAGCTCTCACCCTGAGTAAAGTGCTGTGCCATCACAGCTCACAGCAACCTCAAACTCTTGGACTTAAGCAATTCTCATGCCTCAGCCTCCCAAGTAGCTGGGACTACAGGTGCCCGCCACAATGCCCAGCTATGTTTTGGTTGTAGTTGTCATTGTTTGGTGGCCTGGGCTGGATTCGAACCCGCCAGCTCTGGTGTGTGTGGCTGGCGCCCTAGCCACTGAGTACAGGCGCCGAGCCTCTTCTGCTTTCTTAAAAGCACTGGGTCCCCCAAGGGCATGAAGAGCAGCTCAGCTTCATTTGCACATGAGCACATTGAGATCCATAGTTTGGGGTCATAAAAGATTCTTGACCCTTAGTCTCATCATTTTTTTGTTGTTGTTGATTTGTTTGCTTTCTTTTTATCAGAGACTTGCTTTGTCACATAGGCTGGAGTGCGGTGATGTCATCATAGCTCACTGCAACTTTAAACTCCTGGGCTCAAGTGATTCTCCTTCTTCAGCTTCCTGAGTAGCTGGGACTACAGGCACGTGCCACCACACCTGGCTCATTTTTCTATTTTTTGTAGAGATGAGGTCTTGCTAGGTTGCTCAGGCTGTCTCAAACTCCTGGCCTCAAGAGATCTTCTGGGCAGTGCCTGTGGCTCAAGTGGGTAGGGCGCTGACCCCATATGCCGGGAAGTGATGGGTTCAAGCCTAGCCCTGGCCAAAAACGAAAAAAAAAAAAAAGAGAGAGAGAGAGATCTTCCCACCTCAGCCTCCCAAACTGCTTGGGTTACAGGTGTAAGCCACCGTGTCCAGCTCATCTTCATACAGTCTACTTTCTGCTGCTATTAAAAAATAACAGGTTAAGGTGCAGCGCCTGTGGCTCAAAGGAGTAGGGCGCCGACCCCATGTACTAGAGGTGGCAGGTTCAAACCCAGTCCTGGCCAAAAACTGCAAAAACAAAACAAAACAAGTTAACTCAACACCCTAGTAGGAGGCTTTAGAGGCTAGATCTCTCTTAAATGTAGTAATATCCAGATGTTGCCTTGACTTGAATTTTAGGGGCTGAGAGGATGTTTGTATCCAGGGGCCCTTGAACCCTGTAAGGACACAGGCGATAATTGCCTGTTTGTGCATGTTTTCTCAGTAAACATAGGAACCTCAGTTTGTTACCCCTTTGTCCTTCAGATTCTATGTGGCGTTGCTAATTCCCTCCTCCTAGTCCACCTTTGGTTTAGATTTACAGAGATTTAAACTGGGATTTATTATTTATTGAGGTGAAAAGTGCTGCCGAATGGATTAATCACATTGATAAGAGCAGTTGGTTGGTTGGAGGTGGCGTCTAGCATCATTAACCTTGACCACTCCTGGAATAATGGGTGGATGGAGATGCATTTATGTCGTCCACTCTCTGGAAATGTGCATCCTAACGGTGCACAGGGCACTGAGCTGTGTGTCTGGAGACAGTGTGTGTTGAGCATTTACCGAAACCACAGGGAAAGTTACACTGGGAAAGTTATGACCTCATCTTATTCCAGCAATACAGCCATTCCTGCTCCAGGAAAAGGCAAACTTTTGAGAGTCAACAGCAGAGGGCTCTGCGTGTCTCTCCCAGGGTCCACAGGCATGATCGTGACCTCTGCACTCTTCTAGACATTTCCTAAGGTCACTGTCAGACTAGGAAGCTGCTGGGGAGACTAAGAAGGTTTTGCAGTTTATCTTCCTGGGCACTAAAGAGGAACAAAGTTAAAGAAAGAGAAATGGGGCTGGATTATGAAGGGTTTGACAGCTATGTGTGCAAGTTTGGATTTAATCCTGTCAGTGTGACCCTCCATTAAACAGTCAGTCCAGGGTAGTGACCTAGAAGTCTGTGCTAGAAAAAGAGGGAGCAGAAACTTCCAACCTCTCCATCTCAATCTCCTGCTGGGTTGTAAACTCTAAATAATCCAGGTCTTGCCCCTTCCCAAGCCTGAACTATGAGTTTGTACCAGACTAAAAGTTTGCATTAAAAACTTTGGCTTCATCTTTAATGACACCCCCACTTTCAAATGAAGTCATTAAGGATTGAAACACATGCCCTTGAACAAGAGTTACTTAACCTCTCTGTGCCTCCGTTCCTCCCAGCATTTTATGTACTTTAATTCTCACATCTCCATAAGGTAGATACAAAGACATAGCCATTTTACAGTGGAGGAAAGGGAACCGCAAAGAATTTAAGTAACTGGCTTGAGGTCAGACAACTTCCACACAACAGACTAAAGATATAAACTCAGGCCTTCCAGCTCAGAAACCTGTGCTGTGAACCAGGATGCTCACCAGACTTCTGTGAGCAGCCCTTGGGTCCCAGGGGGGTGGAAAGAGGCCAGCACCCTTTCCTTCAGCTTCAGTACCTCTTTCTCCAAAACTTTGACAAAGTGAAAAGTTGCCATCCATCAAGGAACATTCTAGAAGGCAAAATTCTTCAAAGTTCTGCCATGCAAAAAAAATAAAAGTTAAAAAAAAGTTCTGCCATGCGTGCCTTCAGTAGTCACGGGTCTTTTGCTTTGTCCCCAGGAGAAGAGGTCCGTGCTGGTCATCCTATGGATCTTGGCCTTCCTGGCAGGAAACACCCTGTATGTGCTTTATACATTCAGCTCCCAACAGCTGTACAACAGGTGAGCAGGGGGTCTGACCCCACAGCGGGACAGTGGGGGGGCTTTGTTGGGCTTGGGGCATACAACTCTTCACTTAAAAACACCACACCAGCCTAATGTCACATTGTAATTTCTATATTCCACCCTGTCCTCACTACACACATGTGCTTAGACCAAGACTCTCTAATAGAAATATAAAGCAAATCAGTTATGTAAATTGACATTTTCTAGTTGCTCTTTAGAAAACTAAAAAGAGGCTTGGCACCTGTGGCTCAAGCGGCTAAGGTGCCAGCCACATACACCTAAGGTGGCAGGTTCGAATTCCCAGCCCGGCCTGCCAAACAACAATAATGGCTGCAACCAAAAAATGGCCAGGCATTGTGGCGGGCGCCTGTAGTCCCAGCTACTTGGGAGGCTGAGGCAGGAGACTCGCTTGAGCCCAGGAGTTGGAGGTTGCTGTGAGCGTGATGCCATGGCACCCAGGGGGACAGCTTGAGGCTCTGTCTCAAAAAAAAAGATAAAAGAAAACTAAAAAGAAACAGGTGGAATTAATTTTATTAATAGCTTTTACCCCATACATCCAAAGTATTGTCCTTTCAACATACAATCAATATAAAAATGAGTCATGAGGGGCGGTGCCTGTGGCTCAAGGAGTAGGGCGCCGGCCCCATATATCCGGGGTGGTGGGGTTAAGCCTGGCCCCGGCCAAAACTGCAAAAAAAAAAAAAAATGATTCATGAGATATTTTACATTCTTTTTTTCACATGAAGTCTTTGTAATCTGGTATTTGACACATAATAGCCCATATCACCTCCAACTAGCCACATTTCACGGTCCTTCACCTAAGATTCTTCAGCCACGTGCTCAGAATGGTTAGTAGGCACTGTGTGGGCAGTGCAGGTTTAGAATATTTCTGGAAGGGCACAGAAGAAACTAGAGATAATAGCTGCCTCTTGATGGGAACTAGGGATCAGAAACTTAGTTTGCTTGGTTTAGCTTGTTGTACCACAGTGATGTGCCACATAATAACGTTTTAGTCAATGACACATGGCAGGTACAGCAGCAGTCCTATGAGGTCACAATGGAGCTGAAAACTTCCAATTGCCTAGTGATTTCATAGCCATAATGACATCATAGCACAATTCGTTACTTCCGTGTCCACGGTGATGCTGGTGTAAACAAACCCATTGCACTGCTAGTCGTACAAAACTCGAGCACATACAGCCATGCACAGTACAGAATACTTGATGATAATCATAAATGACTACATTACTAGCTTATGAATTTACTTTTTATTGTTAGAATATACTTTTTCTACTTATAAAAACCAAAGTTAACTGTAAAACAGCTGCGGGCCGGTCCTTCAGGAGCACTCCAAAAGAAGACATTGTTACCAGTGTTTTTCAACCTTTTTTATCTCACAGCACACTTGCACCTATAATTAAACTTCTGTGACACACTTCAATTATGTTGATCAAAAAAAAAAAAA